CATAGTTTTTTCACCCCAGTTTGGGAGTTAACTATTTGCCCATAGCTGGGACCCTAACAGGTGCTACCACTCCGGGCTAAGATGGACCTGGGAACAACAGCAGTTCCACGCTCCTCAAAACTTCCTGATCAGAGGCTTTGCTGCCGGATGTGGTTTATCGTCATACCCAGGACGAAGTTAGAGTAGGAAGTAAAGAGTATGTACGTATGGAGGATAACCCCTTTTTAAATAAGCTGTCTTTTCGGCACATCCATGTAACTGTTAAAAATTGAAACTTGAAGATAACAGTTGTATCAGTTGTTATCAGAGCACTTGGAGCCGTCATGAAAAGCCTAGGAAAAAGGCTAGAAATGCTAGAGACCATCCAGATGACAGCGTTACTAAAATTCTCTAGAATACTGAGGAGGGTCATGCAATATTGTTGAGTCATGCTTGCACTTGAATGCAAGTAAAACGAAACAATTACACGAATACAATCTATTCTATTGTGTTGGAACAAAAGATCGTTGTATTTTTTTTTAATGTGGCGTTTGAACACGTGACTGAAATTCATGACACACATACATATCCTGAAAGGTGACATTTCAATCGGTCTTTCTATATTATTCGTGTGTAGATTGTGAATTTTAAATGATTGTAAGGTAAAAGAGAGAAAGAAACTTTTCCGGTTAAGGAGAATGCTGGACAAAAAGCAAAAAAGATATGTGCCATTTATGGAGATAGTGCCATAGCTGAGAGTATTATTCATAAGTCGTTTGCTAGGTTCATAAGAGTAAATTTTGATTTGGAAGACTGAGAACAATCTGACAGTCTTTGATTATGACTAAATCGAAATCGAAACATTGGTTAAAAATACGGAACATGCTGATGATCCACATATGAGGCCAATCTGAAAACACTTGGACGCAGGAATCGCTGCAGTGTTTAGGTTCTTCACGATATAACGAAAAAATCTCAATAGACCACATTTTCATCTGCGATTCTCCACCCAAACGCAACAAAATCGACCCATTTTTGAAACGATCTACTATACGCGATGAAAAAGCAATAGCTTACAACAATGCGGAGCGAAAAATATCCTGTTGGAAAACGAAATGATCCTTGGAACAGCTTGTATACTACGATCTCGTTCATTAAAATCAGACGTTGAATTCAGACAAGTCTTCTTCTATGTGCCCTGTAACTTCAGAGCGTTAGCGATCATGGCTGTCCACAATTTCCTGTCCTTTGTAGCTCTTATTTTTTTTACCATCTCTCTCAAACCCCGCTCCACCATCTATCCACCATCGCTCAAGCTCAACAGGCAGGTTGTTGATTGCTTTCATCTGGTCGTCTTACTTTCAATCTGTCCTGTGAGTATCAATTTTCCAAGCCCTCTTTGTTCATTATGTATCCAAGAACGGTCTCTTCCTGATGTTAAGCATAAATGTCCTTTTTGTTGCATAGAACTTGGTCGTTGTTCACATGATCGGTTCAAAGTATTCTCAGAATCCTTCTGTAGAACCATTTTTCTGTTAATTCTTGTTATTGTTCTCTCCTCTTAATTGTGTTTTTTTCTCTAATATTCTCTAATATTCTGTTCTTTTTAAAAATTAAAATAACGAAAGTAAGAAACATTTAAGAAGATTCAGTTTGTCTTATTCTATTTTCTGGCAACGTAAAGGTTGGCTTCTCAACCTTGTGGTTTGTTTTTCAACGTGATCTAAGGATTGTTATTGACTGCTTATAAAATCCTGTTTCTATGCCATAACTCATCTCAGAAAGGCTGTAATGGTTTAAACATGGCGTCTATTTTTTGAAAACATTTTTCTTTTTCTTTATTTATATGCCACGTCCCATCAGAACTTTGGCGATCACGGCTCTCCACAACTTCCTGTCTTTTGTAGCTCTTAAAAAAGTTTGTCCTTTTGTTATGTTTTTTGTTATGTTTATTTATTTATTTATTTTTTTGTCCCGCCATCAAGTTCGCCAGTTAGGTTATGCGTTCCTCTTCAACTTGTGCTGGGAGTATCAAATTTTCAAAGCCCCCTGTCCTCATTTCAACGATCTCTTACTTATGTTAAATGTTATGGGGTCCACCCCTTCTTCAAACAAGTGGACTCTACCAGTGTGTACTTGGACTGCTGCCGTTAAATACCCAGAGTCAGTCAGAGTAGAGAGAGATGGAGATTGTGATTGAGTTGGAGGTAGAGTAATAGTGTGAGGTAACCGCTTGTAGAAGTCACAGTTACAAGCACGTAGACTCTAAGGAAGTCCTACTTTGAGACTGGATTTACCAGACTGTATATATATATTATTATTGCTACTAACCACGTTTCTGGATTTACTAACAGTATTGCCCATTGTATTATTGTGTAAATACATTTATTTGTTATATTTCATTCCTGCGTTTGTCATTCATTGGAGACCGAATTTCATCTCGGAATCTACAACATTAAGTATAAGTGTCCTTTGTGTTTCCATATTCTCTAAAACTTCGTCATTGCTCACATGTCGGGTCATAGCATTCTTCTGCAGAACCACATTTCTGTTGTTTCAAGTCTCTTCTTCATCTGTGTGGTGATTGTCCAGCATTCACTGCCATATAGAAGGAGTGCTGTTTTCAGTTGAGCCTATTAAAAGCACTAATCGACAAAAATCGTCCGCAATTGGATAATCCGTGTGTGGTCTTCCATCAAAAAAATACCAGACCTCACGTGTTTTTGCCAACCCGACAGAAACTGATCTAGCTTGGCTGAAACTACACCCGCCATACTAATCTGATACTACACCTTTATCCCTTATTTCAATCCGTAAAAAATCTCTTAATGATATGTTTTTGAAAAGTACAATCATGGGCGATGAAAAATAGATTGTTTACAACAATCTAGAGCAAAAATGTTTCAGGGAAAAACGAAATGAACCACTGTTAACTACTTCAAATGCCGGTGTGTATCCGAAGAAGGTGATGCTATGCATCTGGTGGGATCAAAAAGGCATTGTGTATTACAAAATATCAGGCGCTGAATTCAGACAAATTCTCTCTCCAATTAAAGACGGTAATCTGTGAAAAGCATCCAGAATTGGTTAATTGAAAGTCTGTTGTCTTCCATTAGGATAACGCCAGACCTCACGTCTCTTTACAGACCCGACAAAAATTGATCCAGCCTTGATCCAGATGTCCTACTACATCCGCCATACTGTTATATAGGAATGAAGTGTCACTACTGATACTTGTGTTTGAACGTAGATCGCCAGTAAACAAACCTAAGTGATCTCATTAAACTAGGTAGATCACGTAACCATAGAGAAAACGTATATATAGAGGAAGTCGCATGCCGTCTAGATGTGTTTGCTTTTCCTAGTCTATCTCTGTTATTATTCGAACTGTTATTCAATTCTCTACTCTATTCCCTACACAGAGTACTATTAGTACAAGTATAATTCTAAGACGTCTGACACCAGTAATATGTCAACGGCATATTATAATTGGTATCTGCAATTACAAAAAGTCCTGCTACGTTGACATTGACGAATTATCAAACTAGTATACATTGTCATAGACAGAGTCCTATGAAATTCTCTTAATGGGGAAAAATTACTTTAAAAAATCACTTCGACCAGTTCATCATCTAGAAAGACGCTAATTTCTGGGAGGATTGAATCTTGAAAGCTGCCTCAAAGATGGCGAGAGGTAGTAGATGAAAATGTCTCATATATGGTTGAATAAATCTATCTCGTCTACAGTCACTTTCTCAAAGACGTGCTCTGGCTTCCCTCTGTCTTTTCTACAAGTATTTTCATGGCAACTGCTCTGACGAGCTATTTTCATTGGTTCCCAAATTGCATGAATTTAAGTGTGCTACTAGGTTGGCATTTCAGTCCCACCATTTCACGAAACAGTTAAATGTAGCCGTCTCTTCTACTTCAACAGTTTCTTCTCTCGCACTTCCTGTCTGTGAAACTCCCTTCCTCTTACTTGCTTCCCTGATAATTATAATCTTCAAATATTCAAATTTAATGTCAATCGACATCTCCTAATGCCTTGATCCTGATCCCCGTCCTTCTCTATATCCTTTCCTCAAACACCCCTCTTTACTCTTGCTCTGACTCTCGGTAACCCCTTGCGTGCTAGTGGCACTCCTGCTTTGCTTAGGGTGAAATGCTTAAAAAAAATATCTAAAGAGTGTCTTGGAAATTCATTTTTTTATTATTCTAAATCAATTCAAAATTAAACACGACGTAATTTTATATATTTATCGATCATGCAGCCTACTTTCTCCTTCTTAATAATGAGATATTACAGTCTTATGAAAACATGAAGCGAACATGTCTTCTAATACAATAGCAACGGACTATAACGAAATATTTCAAATCTTGACTGGATACATAACCGTGTCATTATAACGTTACGGTTCAGACCATGAAACCCGTGTTCGAATTCCATCGTGGCTGATTTATCAGGAAGGTCAGTTGCTGGGGAGACGATTCCAGCATTACAAACAGTCTGAAAACCATATTAGGTGTTTTAGCGAAATTGGGTTGAAGAAATTGTTAGGAGACCATCACTGGTTATGCTAACACGAAGTAAAAAGTCATCGTAACCGATATTTCGAACATACAGGTCTTGTTCAACTACTGATCACGCCAAGTTATGCGTTCTCTTCCCGAAATGGTGACTAGTGCCCGCTCAGCATAACTGCAGAATAAACAATGCGAGTGCTACAAAAGCACAAATGTGCTTGAGCAGCCGTCGGCAACAAGATATTAAATTAGCAAGCCAGACGGGCATACTAGTAAATGAACAGACATCAGTTGTTACTTTTTTTCTTTTTGGTGAGTGTTAGCTTTCTTTAGATATTCTTTTTTAATGATTTAAACGGCAGAATTCGTTCTTTTCCAGCAACAATATATTTAATAAAAATTCTAAATTACTAATACAGAAACTATCAATACATTTGTGTAATTACTTAATTAAAAATATCATTTTTATGATAAGGCTAACGAGTAATTATTTTTTTTTACTGGCATCTGTCCGTCCCGAGAGACCATGGATCTGTGACCGAAGAACGCAAGCCTGGGCAGGGTCCTGAGAGACTATGGATCTGCGACCGAAGAACGCAAGCCTGGGCAGGGTCCCGAGAGACCATGGATCTGCCACCGAAGAGCGCAGGTCTGGGCAGGGACCCGAGAGACCATGGATACGCGCCTGAAGAGCGCAGGCCTGGGTAAGGTCCCTGAGAGACCATGGAGCTGCGACCGAAGAGCCCAGGCCTGGGCAGGGTCCCGAGAGACCATGGATCTGCCACCGAAGAGGGCAGGCCTGGGCAGGGTCCCGAGAGACCATGGATACGCGTCTGACGAGAGCAGGCATGGATAAGGTCCCGAGAGACCATGGAGCTGCGACCGAAGAGCGCAGGCCTGGGCAGGGTCCCGAGAGACCATGGATCTGCGACTGAAGAACGCAAGACTGGGCAGGGTCCCCAGTGACCATGGATCTGCCACCGAAGAGCGCAGGCCTGACCAGGGTCCCGAGAGACCATTGATACGCGCGTGAAGAGCTCAGGCCTGAGCAAGGTCAGGAGAGACCGTAGATCTGCGACCGATCTGGGCAGAGTTTTATTTTTTTATTGCTGAACGTCTCCCACTCCAAGCCACCGATGTTGTTCAAGGTTAATACAAATGAGTTTGCAGAAAGACTGTCTTAGGGACACCGGCTCCGGATATAAATTCAGAGTTGTCCTTCTCCTTCTACTGGATGCCAATCACGGCTACAGAGCCTAGACATCCCACTATTTAACCATAGTTAGAGGTTTTTAATAAAGAGGTTTTCCTACTCCTACTCCTAGCCCGGCTGCCAGTCTGTCCTGCGATTTTACCCGTCGCTGGGTGGGACAGAAAAGATGGATGCATACATTTCCCAAGAGGATTAGCACGTAAGTGAATATAATGAACTCGACAGGAATTTCTCAGTCCAAGCCACAATCCATTAACCCACCATGACTCCATAACGAGCAAATCATTATTGGTCACTATACTATTATTAATTTCGTAAAATATATCTTTTGAATATTTTGGTACACATCATCAGTGATGTTTCTAGCCAAGGTTCATTAAGAGTTTGGGGTCTTTCAATATCATAACTCAATTCTCCGCGATGAACCAGCAGATACGGATCGGGTATCGACTTGTGTATCTTCCGTTAGCTACAATTTTTTCCATCTTCCCAACCACACACTGAGACTCCTCTTGGCAATTTATAGTCCAATCCTGGATAACTTCCGGTACTCCAGCAGTTTCTATCTGGTAAGGAACATGGCGGCGCGCTCTGCTTGAAGTGGTAAGTAATGATTTGTTTCCCTTACTGACACACACACACACACACACACACATATATATATATATATATATATATATATATATATATATATATATATATATATATGGATGACCTCTTTGCCAAAGATAACATTGAATTGAAGGGCCTCCTCGATACTGTAAAAATGTTGTAGTGTTGGAATCGTTATAGAATTCGGATTAGATAAATGTGCAAAAGTAACATTCAAGAAAGGGAAAATCACAGAAACACATTCAATAAGTCTAGAATATGTGTGTACATCTAGTGTTAAATACCAACTTAACTTCAGGAAACCGAATATCAGCCATAAACATTTTGCCTGTTCCTGGGGTGCAATAGAGTTTCACCATCTGTAACTAGACCATAGCTGACATTAAGCGAATGGATGTCAAAATCAGAACGCTTCTTACTTTCCACCACATGGATCTGATGTGGCTTATCTGTATGTATCCAGATCCGAAGAAGGTAGAGGATTAGTTCAACAAGAACTGTTGGACAAAACGACAAAAATCTGTCTTCAAAGATACCTGAAAACTACAGAAGACTGAATGATGTGTCAAAGAATATAAAAAAGTAAGAAACTGTATTCAGTAATAAAGGAAGCTAACAAGTTCAAAACGGAATTTCAAGTGGGTGAAGAAATGTAAGTAAATCACAAATGCACTTACTGCAGCGGCAAAGAAATTTAAAAAAGAAGCCAAGAACAAATTCAATGGACCAAATCCAGAAATGATGGCAAGAGAAACCACTTTATGGTCAATATGCTCTCCTTGTCAAACATTGATATAGACAAACCCATCAGTGGTTGCGTAGTACAGGATTAAAAGCTGAAATAGAAGGCATTATATTTGCTGAACATGACCGATGATTGAAACTAGAAATGACCAAGGAAACAATTGTGTTGACCCGAAATACAGATTTTGTGATGAATATCTAGAAACAATTGGCCACCTTGTATCAGGTTTCACGGCATTAGCATCCACCGAATATAAAACTCGGCACGGCCGGGTGAACCAATATCTGCACTGCGAAATCTGCAACTTTTACGGGAATGAAATTGCAAGAAATTAGTATGACACCCAAACCAGGTTACAGACAATATTGAACTTTACACAGAGACTCAAAAAATCAAAGTTCATCGTCATTAAACACCACAAGAACACAATGTGCTTTTTATTGACATGGCAGTTCCTGCAAACAGTAACGTATCGTTGAAGATCTTCAAAAACTATCAAAATACAGGCATCTTGATGTGGAAATCTGAAAGATTTGGCACATGAAGACATCAATAATTGCAGTTGTAGCTGGAGCCCAGGGATTGATTTTTTAAGATAATAATGATTTTATAGTACAAGCCTTACTAATTAACCCATAGCTGGGGGACAACGAAATGGCTTCGTACCTTTCCCAATGCTATTTACGCGTAAGTGAATATAACGAACCCAACTGGAATTGAAACTCTGTCCTCCGATTAACAATTCCGAGCCATTAACATCACCCGCACATCCAAGCTTACAGTACTTGGTATTTCCAAGTGGTCACCCATCTAGACATTGACCAGGTTCGATGTTACTTAACTTCGGTGATCGTGCAGAAACTGGTGTTTCAACGTGATGTGGCCGTAAGCTGCAGCATTTGGAATCGGGGAGATAAATTTTAAATATTTTATTTTATTTCTTTACTATTAATGCTCTGTTTCGTAATATTGAGCACTTACAAAGACTGTTTTGTTTTTGTTTTGGTTATTTTTTTTAATCATTTCACACCGAGCAAGGCGATAAAGCCACTAAGACACAAGAGGTTACTGAGAGTGAAAGAAAATGAGAAAAATCTTTATTAAGGATACGGACAATAAAAGAACATGTAGCGTACGGGAAGTGGTGTTTCAACGTGATGTGGCCGTAAGCCAAAAATGTTCATTGGAAAATGCCCTGATGACATTTCTGACCGTAGGTCCCTCGTTGGGACCCAGAAGGAAATGAGCAGGCAACAGAAATCAAAGGAAATAATAATAATAATAATAATAATTCTTTTTTTTTTCTTTCTATTTCCTTTCTCTCCTCTTCCTTTTTCTTATCAAATTGATTTTTCATTAACCCCCACAATGATTCGAACATTCGCTTTTGGCAACCTCACTTTGTCTTTTTACGACACTCATATTCATTTGTGTTGCGTAACTGGACGCATTTTGTTTTCGCTTTGAAGAAATTATGCCGTCTTAATACCAACAATTAATTTATTCATTTGTTAAGCAATATAAGTAATTAATGTATGATTACAGCAATCAGTTATTTTTCAGTTCAAGGTCAGTCTCATGGTGACTGTGTATATCTGGCCACCATTAAGTGTTTTAAGCAGTAAAACAATTTAAACAATGCGTAATTGTAACAATAACATTTTAAATTTTACATTACCGACTCATCTACTATGGGGATTTTCAAAGCGTAGCTTAGATGTGGCACAAGGCTGAAAGTATGGGGCCCCCAGTAAGGATCGAACTCACCATTCAGTCGTAATTGATCTAACGAGACAAACTTGCTAGCCATTATACCATGTCGAGGTGGCCAAATGGTTTTCTAAGCATAGCCAAGACTAACATCATCTACTTTGTTATGTAAACTGAACTGCTCCAAATTAAAGACAGCACTATTCTTTATGTTTTATACCTATTCGATTTGGATTTCGGATGACTTGGGGGGGTGACATTTTCTTTACTAAACTTCACCCAAACCAAAACTCATTCAAGATTGAGTCTTGCTGAATGATGTGTATGATATAAACACTATAAGAAGTGGAAATCAAAGATCAGGAGGATATGGCGGATAGATAACGATTGAGACTAGATTATAGTATTTGGGGAAGCACCCACAAGGGAGTCTGTCCCACAAACTAGCTGTTTTTGGAAAGCAGTAAATTACCCTTTTCACCGAAGGAATACGCAGGGAATTAAAGTATGAGTCCAAATAACGTTCAGGTAGCTTCGCCATTTATTTAATCAAATGGGTATAAATTGTTCTTGTTCCTCGTCTTATTCTTTCTTTTTAGTATTGCTCGGTAATACCATGCAATAAATTAGTCTAATCCACACAAAATTTCTGCCACTTGTATATCCTTGCTTGATTCAGCTTTGGAGAGAATGGCTTGTGAGGGCGTAGATGTTGGGGGCACAATCCGTTTGGTTACATGTACTTGGATGAGTATCACCACCGGAATTCATTGAGTAGCAGAGCTAAATCGAGTCTAGTCAGTTTCTCTTTCGTTATCGAGGCCCTTGGCCCCACTTGCATGACGCTTGTGTTGTATCGTAACGGTACGGATTCGATTCTCGGTAGTGGATGCCGATGATGACTGCCAAGTAAAGGACGAAACGGCGGATTCTTCTATTCGATGAATTACTACATATATGTATTTACATTAGTCGGACTATTGTCCTCATCTTTGTCGCCATATTTGTCACAACGTTTCGGCCGTTGTAAGCTCCGGCCTTCTTCAGGTGGTTGGAATTTCGAACTGAACCCTTTATTTCGATCACTGGGGTAGACTGTTCTCGTTCCACGTGCCATGTTTGATGGATGTCAGTTATCAGTTATCTGCTGCTAATTTTCCCTCTGAAAGATCTCCACTGCCTTAACCAGGAATTGAACTCACTGGATCTAACCAACGCCTTTATCCACTGTGCCATGTGTCCTTGAGGATATGAACTTCTGAGTATTATAAACCAAATGTTTTCAACATCATTTTTACCAGTGCTCATATTATACTACATATATATATATAACTGATTTTTTAAAAAAATACAAGAGCATTCATAAATATTCATCAGGTTAGTCGAAAAGTCTAGGCAAGTTATGGCGGACACCAAGTAACACAATTCAATGTCCCAGAAACGCAAGTGAGTAAATGATTTTCTTGAATTTTTTTTAGAATTTAAATTATTTTTGTTTGGGATCAATTTATGTGTTATATATTTTAAATAATATGAGATTTTGAATTTATCCGTTTTCTTTTAATTTTTAATATCTTTATAGTCATGTATGTGTAAATAGCAGGACAGACCAGTTTCTATAGCCTGGGATGGCAACTGGTCTACCGAAGAAAGCAATGGCAACCTACTGCGGGAAAAATCTGCCTCGTCAGTCATGTATTGATAGATACATGATCGCCTAAGTGTGTGTCACGCATGGC